AATAAAGCATTTATAAACTGATGAATTTCAAGTATTTGTGAAATACATTTTTTCATAGCAGCTTCACTGGTTGTAGTATCAAGGGTGGTAGTTCAAGAGGTGATTGTAATATCAAGAGCAATAGTTTCAGAGATGTTTAAGAGCTCAGAGGTAGTCTCTAAAGTGGCAATAGATTCAAAGGCATTTGATAGCTCAGGGCAGTCTTTGTGGTAGTAGTGGTTTTAGAGATGTTTGAGGACTCAGATGCAGTCTCTGAAGTGGCGGTTGTGGGCTTAGATGCAGTCTTTGAGGCAGTAGTTGTGAGCTCAGAGTAGTCTCTGAGGTGGCAGTGATTCCAGAGGCATATATGGTCACAGGAGAAGTTTCTGAGACAATTTTAGAGGTGGTAGTTTCAGAAATATCTGTTATAATATGAAATAATTATATGTTTAGCTATTCTAAAATGAGTTTAACTACACTAGCATTACCAATCTAAAAATTTTGCTATCTGAACTAATCTAATTCAAGATCAAAGGTAATATAAAATCAAATCAAAATATATCTGAACCTTAACTAGAGATGCCTGACAAAATAATGAAACCTGACAAAACTATAAGTTTCATCAAATTTTGTCAATAATGAAACTTGATAAAACTTATTGTTTTGTTATTTTGTTAGGTATTACTAACTTTAATACAAATGCTAGTAGTGAAATTTTTCGATTGATAATACTAGGGTCCAAAAATATGTTTTACATTTGGAATAAGAACCAGAAGTGTTGTAAACACAATATATTTCTACCCGAATATTGTTTCATGTAGTGTATGGCTATATAGTCAAGTTATATAATATAATGAATATATCAATTATATTGATTCAGTCTTTTTTCTGTAACTGGTTATCTTGATTCCAAAGCAACTTAGTAAAACCACAACCTATAGTCTGATTAGCTATTCAATCTGACCTTGGGATTGGGGTAACAGGCCTACTATATCTAACTATAATATTAAGTACTTCACAAATTTGGGTGATAATTCTTGCAACAAATTCCTTACTATTGTCACTTTGAAGAACTACAGGGAGACCAAGAATTTTGAAAACATCTTTGAGAAGGTGTATTATGACTGTAATTGTTTCCTCGTTTTTCAGAAAAACTATAACAAAAACTTGGAAAATATACAGATGCAAGTAAGTAGCCATACAAAATTATCATTAACCTCAGAAATCAATTAGATTGATTTGTATATACTACCAGGGTGCTATTAATACTATAGGTCTCATATTCACTTTTCTTTGATGCTGGTATTTATAGCACAAGCAGCATACTGATTAATATATATCTTTATTTCTTTCTTGGTGATTCCAACATACTTTTTTAAAATTGTGAAAAAAGTTTTATGATACTTACAGTAATTGGCTTGATTA